TGGGAACTTCGTGTTATCTTCTTTCCTTGTGGTTATCAGCATATACGTAGATCACGCGCACCTACAATGATTTACTTGCATATATATCATTTTGACCTGACCTCATGTTTTTAGGTCACCCTGTATATTTAAGCCTCTCTCTGTCCATGTAATCCAGTTGCCTCTGAAGATGTCTTGAATAAAGACGAAAGCTAAGGTACTCCGTTGTTTCCTTCTTCCCGTGTGATTTTATCAAGATTTATCTTATCCACGTTGTCATTGTGGATCTACATGAAATATATATATATATATATATATATATATATATATATATATATATATATATATATATATATATATATATATATATATATATATATATATATATATATATATGTATGTATATGTGTGTGTGTGTGTGTAACCGGTAGGAATAATCTCACTTTTAGTTAAAAAAAATTTTTTAGTTATAGTTGATGGTAATGCAGTGGAAGCGCCCCTCAGAGAAAACCCCGAACCAGCACAAATACAATTAATAAAAGTATTTTCCGTGACAGTGGAAAGCTAATACCTGTGATTGGGGTTAATGAGACGCACTGGTAAAGATGACACTTCTATTCCTTCCAACACTACAGACGAAATTAATAATTGTACACAAGCACTAGAGTACTTCTTAGCGTGGTTTACAACACTACAATGGGAAACAAAAGTTATACATGGTATCAAAAAATTATTAAAAGATATTAATGATCATCTGAAAGGATTACTAATGCAGCAGTACTATATACACCAGAACAGACACCAGAACGAGGACCTCCTCTGAAACAATTCCTTCGTACATCCTACATCACTTAGTGGCACATAAGACATTAAAAAATATTACTTGCACCGATGAACATGCCTTGAGGGCATCCGACAAAATTATTGTAATCACTGAGGAATAGAAATCCCGATTTTAGACATACTACACAAGAACATGGATCACCCATAGCCTGTCTGGGATGACCCACAAAATACTATAATCCTAACTGTCCTAACTACCAGAACCCGAAGGTTGTAACTACTAACCTGCCAAATGGCGGGTGCTCCTCTAATGAGTGTATTTCTCCACCAATACCCGTAACATGCTTTCACACATAGGTTCA